TAACTGAATCAGAAAACAAGAAACATAATATGGATTGACAGGCCCTAAGTAACTCAACCCAACTCGAGAGTACCTATTATACTTCCTTTTTCTTTTAAGTACACAACGTGTAAGGTGGGGATTCAAATTCACAACATGTGTCAATTACGCTGAATCATGTTTACTTTGGCTACTTTCTTGTATTTCATTCGTTCAAACTTCAATTTTTTTTATTTATAAGTAATTTTTTAATGTTAGTGAACTCCACATCTTTTTCAAATGATACTACGTGACACACCATAAATGTGATACTACTAGTGTTTGACCGCGTGCAAATGCACGAATATTATTTTTTAATATTTAAAATTTTTACAATGTTAAATAAATGGGTGAAATATTATTTAATTGAATTATTATTTTTTAGGACTAAAAAACAATTAAGATAGTTTTATATATTCTTATAACATAATTTTATTTTTCAAAATAAAAAATAATACAATTTTATTTTTCAAAAAAAAATGCAATTTTATTTAATTGGTGAAATACTTTTATTGACTAAGTATATGTTTTAGTTTACAATGTCTTAGAATTTTTCTAATTTAGTATCTATGGTTTAAAATGTTTCAATTTAAGCTTTAGAAAAAAAAATTTAGTCTTTTTATGTTTTACGATTTTAGTCTCTTTGTTGTCGGTGAACTTTAAAATTGTTTATCCATAAATTTACATGATAGCTAGCAAATAGGTGGATATTTATAGAAGGAAAAACAAATAATTTTAGAGAGTAAAATATCTAATTTCTCCTTCAAATTTTTAAGAAATTAGAATAAATTTTAAATTTTCTTCTTTAAATTTTTATCAATTCACTGAGTATTATAATAATATTCTTATCTAAAACTTTTTCAACTTATTAAGTGTTATAATATTTTATTCTCTACATTTCTACAAATTCATTAAATATCTCAGGTAGCTTTATAATTAATCAATTTTAACTTTCATCAATAGCGATAGACTAACTTAAAAAATGTTAAAATATAAAAGATCAAATTTTAAAATTTTAAAACAATATAACTAAAATGTAAAAACTCAAACATTAGGACTTAAAAACATATATTATAGCATATTTTATATTTTATAACTTCCACCAATATGATTTTTTTTAGTTCAACAACATATAGGGATAATGATTCCAACCTCAAATTTTTTGGTCAATAATATATGTCTTAACTAACTAATACTTAAGTTAGCTCCATGCGTATGATTTTGATATAATTAACTTAGTTGTTATTTTGTACTAAAAAACTTGATTGTTATTTTGAAATCATAAATTTGCTTTGAATATAACATTATATTTATGAGAGTGAGATTTTGTTGTATAAAAAAATTATAAAAAGAAAAAGTGTAGTGAGAGTGAGATTCAAGCTATCAATTTAGGGAGGAGCGATATCTTAATTTTATATTTTACTTTTAATCCATATAAATGAGTTATTAATTAGTTTAGTAAAATATATTAATATTTTAATAATAACATATAAATGCCCCTGATCAATATTTATTTTAACTAAAGCTTGGATATCAAATAACTGAATGAAATTTCTTTATCTTGCCATGCAAATGTTTTCACACCTGAGATAACCTAATTTTAAAATGTTTTGTGGAAATAACATTATATTAGTTTTTATAATTTAAATTGATTCTGATATGTTATTTTACTTGGTGTTTTTAGGCTTTACGCTACTAAAAAATAATGTTTCTATTCCATTATCTAAAAAATTAAAATAATTTACAATTTGAGCATAGTTCAATTGGTTAAGAAATATTTTGTTAAAAAATAAAAATGGTTAAAGAACATATCTCCAACCCAATTCACATCTTCATATGTGTACTAAAAAAATTAAAATATATTTTTTTATTTCATATATCATATGAATTTAGCACTGTTATAAATTTTTTTTTGTGTTTTTTAATTACTAATTTTAATCTTTAGAAATAAAATTTTCAGTTATAAAAAAATAATAATAAATGTATCAGTTAGTACGTTTTTTTTTTTTTGAAGAATTTAATTAGTACACTTTTCACCAAATTAAGAATTTTATAATAACAAATTATTGTTTAATCAATATATGCAAAAATACAATGCAAGATTTATTTATTTGTGAATAAATAGGTGGCTTTTTTCTCTTATAATATTTAATATTATTTTATAAATAATTTTGATAGAATATATTTTGTGTGGCTAAAAGATCATGAGTTTGAATCTCCCACACTCTTGCTGTACTCTGAAAAAGGAAAAAAAATTTCAATTTGAACTACCTAAACAAAATAGTGAAGTTCTAGCAAAATTAAATACAAATTACATGGAAATAATTATGAGAATATATAATATTAATTACGATTATAAAGGAAAAACACGTTAACAAAATTAAACTCAAATAGGAGGAATATTCTTTAAATGTGGAAAATTATCATTTTTCATTTTTTTCAAGAGAATAAATCTTTTCTTAAAATTTGTATAAATTTTTTTTAAAATTATCAATGGGCAAATAAATAATGGAAATTACAATGTAACTTTGCACCATTCATGGAGATTTTGAAATTAACGTATTGCCTTGCTTAATAATTTCATTTCCATCTTTGCAAGTCAATTGTGCTTTTAATTTAAAAACATTTTAATTCAATATGTGACAAAAAATTCATCTACTTTGTGACTAAAAGATCATGGACTCCACCCTCTTATTGTAATTTGAAAAAAAAAACTTTTCAATCCTACTTCGTGAGCAAATTTAGGAAATTTCGACAAAATTAAATACAAATTACATGGAAACAATTATGAGAAGGAATAATATTAATGACCATAAAGGAAAAATAGGTTACAAAAATAAAATCAAGTGGAGAAATATTCCATGTGGAAAATTATCATTTTTATTTTTTTAAGAGAATTTTTTTTTTTAAATTATCAAGACAAATAAATAATGTTAATTACAATGTAGCCCAGTTCATGAAAATTTTAAAATTAATGGATTGTGAACACTTAAGAAAATTTTTGGGGCGATGATTGATGCAAATCCAACCACGGATCCATTGATTGTACCCGGGGGACCAATTACAAGAAGCAAAGCAAAGAAGATTCAAGAGGTTTTCATAATACATCTTCAAAGGCTAGCTAATGCACACGAGGAGACAAAGATTTCTGAGGCAAAAATTCTTTACAATGTTAATTTAATGAGTCAAGAAGAGAATGGAGCAAAGATGGCACGGGAAAAGTTGTCTATTTTGAGAGATGGCACGGAGGACAAAAAAAGTGTGCAGATTGGTGAACAGGTGCCTTTGCAGATTGCACCTCTTGGGAGTTTGTGATGTCAAAGCTTGTCAAATCTCATCCAAACGTAAAGCGCCTCCTACATGTGATTTCCAAGACAATTTAAAGCAATTTTACGTTTTTGGATTCACATTTAGTTGTCTAGTTTGATGTGCAATCATGTTTTAATTTGCATGTCTTATTGTATACAATTTGCATTAAATAGGATTTGAAAGACTTTTGGTGTTCCTCATGTTGAACGACCCTTTGGCCTATTTAAAGGCTTGTAATCACCTTGTTTTAGGACATGAAAACATATTGAAATTCAAGAACTTTTGTTCCTTAACACTTTTGGTGTTGCTTCTTTCAAATCTTGCTTTAGGTTTGATGTTAAACCGATTCATTGGATTAGTCTCGATCAAGCTAATTCTGGAGTGAGTCGTCTTAGGATCTAGGAGTGTCTATCGTAGATTCTAAGTCCGATCTAAGAGTGATTCATCTTCTAACCTTACTCTTGGTTGGAATCATTCGGTAAGTTAGTCGTTTTTGTCAATGTTTGCAAGGATCCTAGAAGGACCTCTAGCTTTGTAAACACGAGCAACCTTGGTGCTTATCAATGATGGTGTACATTCTCATGAAGGGTGTTGAGTTCAACTTTGGGGAGCTCATAAGGAACGAGATTCGGAGTTGCTCCGAGAAAATGGTACGTTTTCTTGTTTTTCTTAGACTAATAACTGAGTTATGCTTGCAGGGGGGAGTGGAGGCTGATGATGCCAATGTTGTGATGCCCAAGAAGCCGTTCACATCCCTAGGAAGAGTTCGGGGGTATTCCATTGTTCGAGAGGAAGATTCTCCCATTACCGCTGCGGATCCCGAGACCCGAGGGGTGGTGACTAGGGAGCAATATGATGAGCTTAGGCACAAGTACGAGCTT